TAGGGTTTGGGGTTTTGGGTTTAGGGTTTGGGGTTTTGGGTTTAGTGGGTTGGGGGTTTAGGGGTTTGTGGTTTAGGGTTTAGGGTTTTGGGGTTTAGGGTTTAGGGTTTTAAGGGTTAGGGTTTAGGGCTTTCGGGTTTCGGGTTATGAGTTCATTCAGGGTCTATTGCTTTGAGCTTCACGGGTTTAATGGAATTTCTCTTGGGACTCCTGTGAGGGTTCTAGAAGGATTCGATAAGGCTTTTGGCTAGGCTTGCCAAGGCTTCCATGACAGTTGGGCTCCGTATGGCTTTCGATATGTTCAGTTTAGTGCTTCTCTTCCGCTTTCAGGTTTGGCCCTCAGCATAAGCACTGAAAGCCGCTCGAAGACTCCGAATGAAGCGAGCACCTTCACCAGTTGCAGTAAAGAAGGAACGCCTTGTGCAGACCCTATAAGCACAGGGCGCTTAAACCCCAAACTTCAGGGACGCCTAACTAAGCCAGTAGTATAGGATGGAACCTCAATAAGGTCCCTTTTAAGAGAGCCACAAGTAGGGTTAAGAAGGGTCCTCTTTAAGGGGTCTCCCGAATACTACCTCGGATAATATGGGGTCCCGGCTTGCGCCTGAAGCAAGATGCGAAGATCTTTCGCAGCGTATCGCGGGACGCCGACTTGTTCGGCCGCGCTGGCCTCAAATAAGAAGCCAAGCAACACCCGCAGATCTAGGGTTTAAGGTTTAGGGTTTTAACAAGAAGCCAAGCAAAACCAACAGGAACATACGGGACTGATGTGGGGTTTTGGGCGCTCCATATTATAATCGTAGTATAACATACCCCCAAAACCTGTTCTAATTACTAAGGCCCCTATATTAGCGTTCAAGATCTTGGGCTCAGAGTTCAGAGTTCACGAAACCCTAAACCCTAAACCCTAAAGCCTAAACCCCTAAACCCAGGGTGCTGAGGTTCAGAATCCAGGACTCAGACCTTGCCAGGTAGGGTCAGGGTTTAGCGAGCTTAAGTCTTAAATCAAAGCACCTGACATGACGTGGTGGTTTAAGATTTAGGGTTTAGGGTAGCATCACGCCAGGAAGTGGTCGGGTGGTTCGTCACGCGACGGCACTGTCTTGTGCCTCATTTCCGCAATCCTGAGCCTCTGAATGATAAGACCCGAAACCCTAACCCTTAAGTCCTAAACCCGACAAATCTAGACTAGACATGAAGTCCAACAAAGCCCAGAACCTCACACCAAAGCACTGCCCAAAAGGCAATGCGCGTGGCAGCACTTAAGTGCATCTAGGCCACCAGAATCGCCTCCAAGTCCTGTTGGGTCGGGTCTTGTACGGTTTTCTGCGCAGTTGAGCGGGCTTTATGATGGTCTTTGGCAGGTACTTTCACCGGTGCTTGGCTTTGAAAGGGAAGTCTTCGTGGAGTAACTTTCCGTGTCTTGCACGCTGACCGCTCGTAACTACAGGCACCCTAGGCTTTCAGGATGTAGGGTTTAGGGTTGGGCCGGTTAGGCCGTGGAAATCCGAGCTCTTGGTGAAACATTGCCATACATAGACCCAAGCTGCCCAATGCCAGTTATGGAGTTTAGGGTTTAGGCTTTCGGGTTTATTGCTAACAAGCCCACATAGGCCCAAAGGAGCTTCAGGCACATGCTTCAACGAAGGGCTTTGACAGCATCCGAACACTGATGATGTGAACTGCGATAAGCCCGAGGCATGTAAAGTCATACTGGTGGTTCTCTAAATAAGGGTCCCTTCGGCCCTGTGGGGTCCTTTTTATAAAGGTGCCGTACTCTTTTGGGGACCTAAAAGGGACCCGAATCTGAGAACTATCCATATGGCATGAGCTACCACGGCTCAGCTCAACACTACCTAGTCATGCCCTACCCCTTTTAGGTACCTAGTTTTATGCTTAGGACCTGCTAAAAAGAAAGGTAGGTACCCTCAAAAAGGCTAGGGTATGACTCTATATAGGTAATAGTACTAGGTCAGAGAATACTAAGCCCGTTTTCCAAGCCCCCAACCCGACACCCCCCCAAAACTCTGAGCCTTGAACAAAACCTTTCTGGAACTTTCGTAGAAACCTTCCCGGAGAGCCTATGTTAACAACCCTAACATTAAGGCCCCTATCATTTTCCCCAACTAAGGGAGATTGGTCTCTCTGGGTTATTGACCCTCATACAATCCCCTCCCCCTGAACCCAACACGCCTCATTTCGAGAACCATTTGGGGCCCTAAACCCTCAACACGATAGAACCCCTACAGAACTTTTCAGCCCCTAAACCCTAAACCCTAAAACCCTAAACCGTAAGCCCTGAACCCTTTAAAGGAGGGCTTTAAAAAGGGAACCCAAAAAAACCTAAATAATAAATAAAAACCTCTCCTTGGCCGAAGCGAAAGCACCGAAGCAGCCGAGTCCCAGAGAGGTTTTTCCCAGATCTCGGGATCTCGGAAAAGCCATGGGCAAAGGAACGCTCTGATGGGGTTTAGACGTTAGAAAGCCGTGGGCAAAGAAACGCTATTATGAGTCTATAGGGCTGAGGAAAAGCCGTGGGCAAAGACACGCTCTTACGGGGTTTAGAACTTATAGGGCTTAGGGCTAGGGACAAGCCATGGCAACGAAACGCTCTTATGCGGGGTTGTATAAGGGTTTTGTGAGGGCTCCTATGGGGTTACGTGAAAGGCTTTGCAACAAGTTACCTGATAAGCGTCATGCGACTGCAATTACTAACAGAAAACGGCGAGGCTATGCTCGTTTTAGGTCCTTAAGTCAGTTACAGAATTCTAGCATAATATGGCCCCCTAAACGCTACTCTAACTAGTAGAAGGCTTCAGCGATTCATCGTTTGTGCCTATGTTGAACGATTTATCTGGCTCTGGGCCAGCCACGCAAGCACCGCGTCGCTTGCAGGCCAGCCTACCGTAACCTTCGAGCCATGCAGCAGCCCCGAATAGACTTACAGGGTTTAGGGTTCAGGGCTTAGGGTTTATAGGGTTCAGAGGGTTGATAGGGCTTAGGGTTTATAGGGCTGAGGGTTTATAGGGTTTAGGGTTTTTAAGGGCTGAGGGCCTGGGGTTGAGGATTGAAGGCTGGGGCGTTGGGGTTAGGGTCAAGAAACGCTTGGACTACCCGAAACCCCTAAACTCTGAACCCAAACCCTGAGCTTTAGGGTCTTAGGGCTTAGGGTTTAGGGAACAACCCGAAACACTAGACCCGAAGATGGCCTTGTACTGACTGCAGCCCTCCTCCGCAAAGCTAGTTTGAGGCCACATGTCCCATGCCAAGGTTCGGCGAATCCATAAGGCTGCGGATGGACCGCGCTGATTCTGGTTCAAGCGTTGACGGGATCAATAAAAGGGCGTAGGTATGTTCGAGTTTTAAGTACAGGGGGACATGTTCAGGATAAAAGCGCAGGCCGACTCCCTCCATGCTAGCAAGGAGAGAAGGGTTTATAGGGCTTAGGGTTTAGGGGTTTAGGGTTTAGGGTTTAGGGTTTAGGGTTTAGGGGTTTAGGGTTTAGGGGTTTAGGGTTTAGGGTTTAGGGCTTAGGGTTTAGAATCTCGGCAAATGGCCTTCGACATGCACAAACAGGCCAGTTTGTTGGATTGTGCATATCTAAAGAACAGAAACCCTGCTGGATACACACACTGAAGGACAAGCAAGAAAGTCGCATCACCGTGGCACGTGAGGGAAGCTCAGAAACTCGCGGGCGTACCGAACCTGTAGTGTGACTAGGTCTTCGAGGAATCCATGGCCCCTAAACCCTAAACGGGAAGCACAAGGACTCGAGGCTTAGGCTGTCCAGAGATTCAGGACATAACCACTAAACCAAGGCGGGGCAGATGTAGGAGGAGGATCGTTCCATGATGCCTCGGAAGATACGATAGGAGGTGTGCGATACACTAACGAAGCCTCCAAACCCTGAACCCTAAACCTCCAAACAGAGAGCCTGAGGAATGGCATTGGTAAATTACCCTAAACCCTAAACCCTAAACCTTAAACCCTAAACCCTTAAAACCCTTAAAACCCTTAAAACCCTTAAAACCCAAAACCCTAAACCCTAAATTAATTATGCAGGCTTCGTCTACATCAGGGCTTCGGTGCTCACGTCCTTGCCGATATTGACCGGGGCTTGGCGATCATCGTGCCCACGCAGGGGTCGAGTACAGCAACAGTAGCAGGCAGCCAATAACAGAAAGTCGCTGAATGAATACATGCAGTTTGTAGGTTTCCTGCTCCATATGAAGGTGACGCAATTCGCACTACCATTAACCCTAAAGCCTAAATCCCTCATTTTTCTTGGTTTCATGTTCGCAACAGGAGCCAGCGGTTCTTGCAAGCTTTAGCAGTGGAGGGCAAACCGCTTGGATGGCCTTCTATGCTCAGGGTTTAGGGTTTAGGGTTTTTAGGGTTTGAGGGTTCAGGGTGTAGGGTTGGGTGCTTAGGATTTGGGGCTTCGAGCTAGGGCTCGAGGCTTTAGGCTCAGGGCTTAGATAGGGTAGACGGTTTAGGGTTTAGGGCATAGGATCAACAAGTCCACAACTCTCTTGATGCGTTGGCGAGCTTCTAACAGCTCCCTTCTTTTCGCGTGCATGTTCAGCAGACCGCTTTTAGCGGTTAGGTGCGACGAGAACGCTAAAGTCTGATACTTCAGGGTGCCCGACAATCCGGGAGCTTCAGAAAATTAGGGTTTAGGGTTTAGGGTTCCTGTCTGTTTCAAGCTTCCCAAAGTACTATTTTTGGGTAACTGGATCAGTCGTGAAATGCGATCTCTTGGCACCAACTTCCACAAAGTGAGACGTAATTTGCCGCTCCGTCGTCGGCATAGACCTGGCGAGCTCAAAAAAAAGCGAGCGAAGAAGGTTCTGTAAGGACTCCTACTAGGGCGTGAGGTTTAGGGTTTAGGGGTCTTGGGGCTCAAGGATTTAATAAGGGCGTAGGCACACCATTACTCGAATGGACACCTGAGCGGCCCAAAAGTAAAGAACAGCCACCGATTAAGGGCCCTGTCCAGCCGAAATGGCCCCGCACAGTGTTCGCCAGCCTTGCTCAAGACATGTTCTACTGTTCTCATACCTCAAACCCCAGATCAGATTCTTAACCTAACATAATATGAGATAGGATAAGATAAGATAAAGACAAAGAAAAAGATAAAGATAAAGATAAAGATAAAGATAAAGATAAAGATAAAGATAAAGATAAAAGATAAAGATAAAGACAAAGATAAAGATAAAGATAAGGGAAGCCGAGATAATGTAAGATGAGATAATATAATCCATTCTTAACCCCTGGGCGCCCCAGACTTCCTCAAGACTCCCTACAAGATCTCCCTAATATCGCGGCCTTAATAATTAGAATATGCTTCTGAGGTATACTATACTATAACTATAATAAGGACCCCCCATATATATATATATATATACATAGGTAATTCTTTAAGGCCCCCATATTAATCCTGAAAGAGAAAGCCCAACAGAAAGATATGTGGCCTCGCAAGCTCAGAAGTTCATCCCCTGCACATTGCCCTGCAGCAGGGAGGGAATGAGATTTCTTATGTTGGAGAGACTTTTAACAGGGTTGTTGAATTTCGTGTTCAGGGAAGACAAGAATTCGTGGGCTTGGAGTTTGGGGGTATATAACGGGTCGTGCGATTCGGGTGCTTCTTAGACTTCCGCTTTCTGGCAGTCCCTACAATTGGCCATCGGAAACCCTACCCGAACCTTCAGGGTTCACGAGCCCCTATAGGGGAGTTTCAGAAACTCAAAGACGTCGCCTAACCCTAAACCCTAAATCCTAACCCTAGACCCTAAACCCTAAGACTCAAACAGCCGTAGGATTCCGTTGCCACAGAGACCTTGTAAGTCGGAATTCCGAGCTTCTCAAAGAACCACATTTTTATAATAAGGTTCCTTAAAGGGATCTTTAAGGATTCCTATAGGGTTTCTACAAGGGTGGTGTTATGGGTAGTTCTCCAAATTGTCTCCTTTACAAAGGTGCCGTAGTGCTTTTAGCACCTCAGTTGGGACCCTAATCTACCTATAGTCTCCATTGTAGTTCCTTTTTGGGGATGCCTTATAAAATCGTTAATATATTTTATAGTATGGGTTAAACCGAAAAAAAGGAACTACAATGGAGACTACAGGTAGAGAACCACACACATGCTCTGGTGCTCCACACTCTGACCTCGAAGACCTGCCCCGAAACCCGAAACCCCAACCCACAACCCTAAACTCCAAAAAATCTGAAACACCGAAGCCCCAACCACTAAAGCTCTAAAGCCCGCCAAATTTTCACCCCCTAGCAACACTGGATTTTGCTCACTTTTCTCTCCAGCGGGTCTTGCGGTTCTTGCAGCGCAGTGAGCCGGTCACATCCAGATATATCTGGTTCCCTCGAAGTCGGTCCTCGGCACCGAAACCCCTACAATACGGGATGATAGTAAACCCTACACCCTAAGCCCCTTAAGGACTATAAGGGAATACAACAAATCCCCTGGTTTAAGGTTACTTGCTTCTGAAGGTTTGGGCGTTGAGGTGGCTTTTGGATATCTGTCTTCCCAGGTGTAAGAAACCCTAAACCCTCAACTCTAAACCCTTAACCCCTGAACCCTAAACCCTAAACCCTAAATCCTAACCCCTAAACCCTAAAACCCTAAAGCCCTAAACCCTAAACCCTACAACTCAAATGCTACACCCTATAATTCCATAATGCTGGGATGATGGGATCTAGGGTTCCCTCGCGCTTCTCTGGCTCTGAGGGGGGTTCCGCCAGGGTTCTCTAAGGATCTGGGGTTTAGGGTCTACGGCTTTAAGGGTTTATTTAGGGTTTAGGGTTTAGGGCTTAGGGTCTGAAGGCTCAGAGTTTAGAAGATGGTTCTTATCCTGAGGGCCCATGTGCCCACATCATCGATACCTTGGCCTTAAAGTAGTCCCTATATAGGTACTTTTTTTGGGCACATGGACCCTTAGGGTTCTAAAGCGGACTCCAGACTTCCGAAAGAACGGTCCCTTAAACTTAAAGTACACATAATCTAAGGTTGAACCCATGGGCCCCTGACATGGGCCCTTAGGGGATTCTAGGGTCCCTTAAGGGCATATAGAGGGTATATAGTCGGTATATTAGGGTCCCAGGGTTAAGGGCCCATGCTAGGGGCCCATGGGTTCTACCTTAGACATAAGACTAACACACCCGAACACCCGAGTTCAAGTATCCCCCTTTGCCTATTGGGGTTTAGGGTTCAGGGGAACCCGAAGCGCCCTGAACCCGAAGCCCTGGATGCCTTAAACATACTGTGCTACACTGGGCTTCTATGCTAAGAACATATGAGGCAGCCATAAGTAAGGAGTAAAGCCGCTTATCACCAAGACCTACTGAAAAAGTCACAAAACTCCATGGGTCGTGCATCCTGCAACCCTCCCTAAACCCTCAACCCTAAGTCCCAAACACTACCTCTAGTGTCC